AATCCAAGCTTATGACCTTTCAGGAAACCATTATTTACTCAGCACTTACTATGTGCACCATAACCTACTAAGAAGCAGAAATCTTGGCCCCTGAGTCCGTTGTGTTTACCTACCTAGAGAAGACACTTGGAAATCACAATGAAATGTGAGGAAGCTACAGAGAAGCAAACCCCCAGAGGGGTACTGGGGCACTTTGGGCACACGGCAGTCTGAGAAGTCCTCCAGAGGTGATGTACCTTGAGCTGGGGCCATGAAGAAATAATGGGCCTGCAATGGCTGCAGGTGTGAGGACTGGACATCCCGTGTGGGGGACCAGCAGGAGCGAAGGTACAGAGGTGGGAACTTGCAAAATTCGGGGCAAGAAGAGAAGACTGACCAAGCTGGCATGTGTAGAAATAAGGCTAGGTTCTCGGTGGGCAACAGCACTTGAATGCCAAGCAGGAAATAGAGAGGTATAGACGGTATTTATGAATCAGCAGGGAGCTACAGTAGATTCTTGAGTAGGGGAGGTGACACGGTGAAATTAGTGTGCATTTGAGATCTCTGTAAATGGAAGTTGAAGAGAACTAGGGAATTAGATGAGAGAGAGAAAGAGAAAAGTAGACAAGACGGGGTGGGGAGAAAATACTCAGAGAGTCTTTGTATTTAAAGTTAGGGACATGGTTATAGATGAATATGCTTGGTGACTGTAGAGTTGTACAGAAAGTTAGAAATTCAAGAGATATTTCAGAAGAATTAGCAGAGCAGCATTTCTGATTGAGTAGGAGACAAAGAAGGCATCTTGGCTGGGAACCTAAGATATTAATGGAGAGAAGCTATTTTACAGATGTGAAGACTCTTGGAAAAATATGTGTTTGAAGGTATGCTTTCAATTCACATAGTCCTACTGTGGGCAATAATGATTTGCTGAAAATGGCGTATTTTCTAGGGTCAGAATAGCCTGTGGTCACAGGATATTACCACCAGATGGTGCACACACATACACTGGTAAGAAAGTGATGTGGACAGTTGACAGTCCAAAGAAATCAATCGATCATCATTCTTGAGTACAGATGGAGCCAAATTCAAATGTGCAGATTAGTAGGGAAAAAAAGGTGAACGAGCAAGAATCAGCTACATATAATAGGTTTCAAAAGTTCCCAGGACAGTCCAATAACCATTTCCATGCGGCAGGACTACTGGAGGGAGGTCCTGGCTGGAGCTATACATTTAGGACACATTATCCATGGCCAAGGGTGTCACTACAGTGAAGTGCTTAGATTAGGGTTTCCTAATCTAAGATTCACTGACCCCCTACGGATACAATTCTTAGTCATTTGAGTCCATAGAATGCCCTGGAATGGTTGTTAAAATGCAACTACCTGGACCCTATCTGGAGATTCTAAATCAGTTTAGATTTAGAGGCCAAGGAACCTATATTTTTACCAAGCAGGTAATAGGTAATTGGGATGCAGATGGTTCTGGGTCCTGGGTCCTGGGTTCACCCCCAACCTCCTCATCTGATGTGAAAATTTTCTGAGAAAAGAATCAGTCACTACCAGCAGATACTTATAAGAGGTCTCTGATCCTAGAAAGGTTGAGAGCTATTAGTTTTGATGCAAGAGTAAAATGTCTGGAGCAGCCAAATTTTGGAATGAAGAAAGATGGGGATACACCCCATCTGGGGGAGGCAGGTGATAGAAGCACCAGTAAAGAGAGAGAGAGAGCGATCCGAAGACATAGGAGGGAATCCAGTGGGTCCTGTGCCCTGAAGCTGATGGAGAAGAAAGGTTCAGAAGAGAAAGGATGACAGACAGTTTCAAAGAGCTCAGAAGCAGCATGCTTATAGCAATGGCAAGCCTCTGTCCCACTGTCCTCTCAGGGCGCCAACCGAGCTGCCCAAGGGCTCCTTATAGCTAGAAGAAGCCCCAAATATATGCCATTTTAATACTGTCAAATGTCACATTATTTATATGTGCCAACTGGGCATTCAGAAAACTTTTTCGGGATGCTTTCTCAGCTCCTGACCCTTCTCTCTCCTGAATTACAGGCCCTCTAGGAATACTTGTGGACAGGACACTCCTGTTAATACTGTTCGAAAGGCTGGTTTCCTGGCCTGCCTGAGGGCAGCTGACAGGGCCCCAGGCCCCGAAGGAGACCTCGTGCTTGGGTTTACTGCTCTGTGTTTGCTAACCAGAAATTCTTAATAATTTTAACTTTGAATTTTTGTTTTGTAAATGAAGTCTGATGAGATGATGAAGCATGTTCCAGAGACTTGGAGCCTTGGTTTGTATGTGGTCCTGCTTCCTTGCCTCCCCAGGACAGGTTTCTTGCCTGCTCTCCGGCCCCCTGATGTGGATGTATTCCTCCCACTCCCTGCCCCATCATCACTGCTGCCACCTTCCACCCCGGTGGGGGCCTGGGCATGAGTGCAGGCAAGGCTAGGATTGGGTGTGTGCCCAGCATGCCTGAGTCACAGTGGGGCATCTTGTGCCTGGGAGGGTCTGTACTCACTAGGTGAGTATCCCATGCTTCAGGGAATCCAACGTCAAATAGCAAACAGAAAGCCACTCCATCGCAGGTTGAGAGAGAGACCATGGAAAAAAGGAGAAAAGCTTTTGCCCTGGCTTTTGGACAAGGGCCCCTGCCTTTACATTTTGCACTGGGCCCTGCAAATGACATAGCTGGCTCTGACTATCCCCACCTCACACTCCTAGCCAGAGTTGATTATAATTGGCTAGTTGCTTGTTAGGACCTGAGCCACTTAGATCTTCTTCCTTGTCAAAATCTACCAACACTAAGACAACCGGCCAGTTTGCCCTGTGAAGCCGGTTGAGTGAAACACTATCACCTGCACTAGCTGAGAACGGCCTGTCCATCTCTTTACTAAAAAGTTGCACCGGCTACGGCTTTGAGGCCTCAGTTTCCACCCTATGAGTGCTAATACACCCTCTGCAGCTGCCCAGGACACCGGACTTGGAAAGGTATCTTTCCTCACGTGCCCCCATTAAACTGTAGCTTTGGTCTAATCCTATTTATTTGGTGCATTTTAACTTTGAACTACAGCCACAGTAACCTTAAAAAATTAGAGTAGGGATGGCAAATAGGTTTTATTTCAAGTGCCAATTCTAATTGATTAGTACAACTTTTTAGAGCACCGGGAAAGAACAACATGAGGCCATGAGCTGCAGCAACTGTGATGCATTATTGATGTCTGCCTGGATACAAGATAAGGTGTAGTGATGTGTGCCATCACTGGATTGGAGTCACTTGGATGCAAGGAGCATGAGCACTGTAGATTTAAAGCATCTCAGTCCAATAAGCAGTTCTGCAATGTGATGGTTCAGAGATTTTCCAACAAGCACATATGTGGAGGCCACTGGAAGTGAAGAATAATCTACCTTCTTCAAGATACCTGCTCTCCTAGAAGATATACTTCTGGAGTTCCGAGGAAACCTGGGCTCAGGGTTAAGATGCATCCAGAAAAGCAAAAACCCCTAACTACTCTAGCTAGCGAATTGCCTTCCTCCTACCTGAGATGTCATAGGCTACACAAAACTACACAGCATCTGTCCTTATCCCCATAGCAACCACAGCTAAGTCTAGGAAAGGAGGAGAAATGGGGTCTCATGGTCACAGCTGGATAAGCCTCAAGTCACAAGTGCCTGCTTTTTCAAAGATGAATCTACTGTAAAGCTAGATCTTGTTCTCAGGCCCCAAGCCCAGGGTTTACCCCGCTAACCCTTCCTGCCAGCATCTTCTTGGGGCTCTGGATCAAGGCTCTCTCCCCTCTGCCTGAAGTTGCCAACCCAGTCCTGGGTCTTTTCACCTCCCCATCTCCAATCCGGACAACTTGACCTATCCCAAGGTACCACCTCACTTTGTAACTTGTATTTTTCACACTAAAGTTCTAATGGAAGAGCTTTCTGTGTAAAAGGAGCCCCAATTTCAATCTGGCATGAAAGGAGAAGGTGCTGGCTTTCGAAAAGCATTTTGAAGTGCCAAAGAATAAACTCCTCAACCCATTTCCAGTATGGATTCACCCCCCTCCCCCATCTCTGTCAATCTTCCCTAAGTGGTCTCAATAGCTCCATCCTGCATTCACTGAAAAGGTTGGCTCTCCTTTTACTATAAAAATCAGAAAGGAAGAGGCTTTTCCTGTGCCTCTCAACAGGGCTTTTGTGCCTGTAATTTCATCCATCTGAGCATTTCTCTAGCACTCATTACTGTCACACGTGGGAACTCTGAAAAAGGCACTTCCAGAGATGGAAGGAAGGTGCTTAAGACACAAGAGTTTTAGAATAATGGACCAAGCTGTTCCGAAGATATTTAATTTTCTTTAAGGGCTGAAATGTGACTTGAGTGATTCAATTAGCATTTCTCGAGAAGCCACAGAATTACAGTTTTTCTACCTGAGGCCAAACCAAGTAAGTGAGACGCAGACTTGGACTCGGGGTCTGACAGAGTCCTGCATCTTTCTTACTAGCCCACCACCCCCTCATTTAATCTCTTGTATCAGCCCCAGGTTTAGTCATTCGACAAACTCCCATTAAATACCTACTGCACACAGGTCCCATGAGGTACGGGGAACACTGCCGAAAAGGGTGAGGTTTCTTACTACTCCATACACATTGTGCAGGGTTTTTCAACCTCTACCAGAGCAGCCCTAGTTGCAAGTAAAGTGTGAATGGGACACCCTCGAGCCCGGGGCCACAGACTAAGGTGGCCCAACAATGCTTCAGAAGACATGAAGTCTTTGGTTATCTTTTAAAGTCCACGAGAGCTGTGCATTATTCCATAATTGACTTTTAATGCAAAAAGAATTTCTCCCTGTGTTCCTCAGAATGCTATACCCCCTTTGGAGAGGCAGGAAATGCAATGTGTGGAATCAAGTTCTACAGGCCCCCCCTGGATGACTGCTCTGAGGTCTATGTTTTTCCTTGCTCCCAGCTTCTGAAGGCAGGAGGCCCCTCCCCACAGACGAGATGAAGGACTCTGTCAGTCTCAGGTGTAGACAGTCATATCAAAACCGCTCCCCTTGTCCCCTGCCCCATATATCAGCCATTTCTTGTCCCAAGGCTTGATGTGCATTGAGGTCGATTCCCTCTCTCCTATTTGTCCATGATTCATTGACTAGAGAGAGGCAGTGTATAACCAACCACCAGTCCCACCTAGCACATAGTAGGCACTATATAGAGCACTCTTCATTAAAAAGTGTTTTCTTGACTAATTAGTAGTTTGCTTCTAGAGCTTCCCATTCATGCTACATGTATCATATATGTATGATGCAGGGAAATAATTACTTCTGTTAAAAGAACACAATTCTCTGGTAAGAGAACCCTACCACTTAACAAGTTCTTTTTCCTTTCTTTTTTTAAATCCCTTTTAAAAACTAATGGGAATAGGGTATATATCTATGTCAACAGTTTAAGGTACCACACATTTCTAATTAGTCAATACCTAGTTATTTTCCATGGCTATTTCTATGGCAATACTGAAAATATTATTGTTATTCATAATTATATTACAATTGATTCTCAGCCCATTAAAAACATCTGGTAAAAGTAAATCAACATGCATTTTCATAACCTAAAGTGTTACTAGGTGTGCATCCTGTCCCAGCCCTTGGGCTAGCACACATGGTCACCTTGTGGGCAACTCTTTGTCGGCAGCCCGGCTAGCCTACCTGTCAGGCATATCCCCTTGGTGCTGTTGCACAGGTCCACCATGACTCGGATCTGCAGGGAGACAGGGTAGTTACTAGCAGCACAGTAGGCAGTGGGCCCTGAACTTGCCCTTTATTCAGACAAGAAGAAAGCAATCACAAAATTCATGAAGTAACTTCAGGAGAATATGCAGAAACCTGGAGAAAAGCACACCTAAAAAAGAAAATAAACCCTTAAAAGATCTAAAGATATTTGGTATCAGAAGCTCATTTGTCAATATTGTCAAAAGAATCTCCTTGATTTTTACCAAATTGGGAAAATTCGGAAACGAGGATGGTGAAGGAACTGCTCAATTCAATTTTTAAGTCTGTAATGAGCTACATGAAGGGCTCAGTGAGCCTGAATAAAGAGAGTCGGTAGGCTTAGTGGTTAGGAGCAAGCACTTACTAGCTGAGTGAGCAGGGGCGACTTTGATCTTGACACTTTGATTTTTTCTGAAAATGTAAATAATATAAGCACCTGGCTTAAGCTCTGTCCCTGGCCCCAAAGGGTAGTGATCCTCATGCCATGTGGACACTGCCTGCTGGATGCCACATGTGGTGCTAGGGCCCATGTGGTGCAGCATAGTATTAGCCTGACATCTGCTTCCCCTGCACCTGCCGTGCAGCCCCTTCCTCCTTGCATTCTCCACACCACTCCTTATGAGCTTCACAAAAACCAAACCTGACTGGGTTAGCCCTGATGCAAACACTTTTTTGATTCCTTGCTGCTCTAAAGATAGAGCATAAGCCCTCTTTTCCTGGACTCATCTCATACCATTCCCCCTTCCTTTTTTATTTTCCAATTATAATCTGCTTCAGTTTGCTCATCTGTAAAATGGAGAGAGTAGTAGTGCTTACTTCTTAGGATTGTTGTGAAATTATTATATGTGAAGTTCTTAGAACAGTGCCTGGAATGTAGGAAACAAAAACAAAAATGTTGTCCATTTTGTGGAAGCAGCAGAGTGCTGGACAGAAGCATGGATTCTAAAGTCAAACTGCCTGTGTTCAAATCACGACTCTGCCACTCATAAGCAATGTGACTTAACCTCTCTATGCGTCAGTGTCTGTGAATAAAGCTCATAACACCTACCTTATAGCATGGTTATGTGGATTAAATGAGCAAATACATGCAACGCACTTAGAACAGGGCCCAGTACATGGTAAGTACACTCTATGCTATTGTTCTGATGGTTCCTTGAATGTGCCAGGAAGGACTTGGTTAATTTATCAACTTACCATCCAAGAATTTTCAATTTCTAGATATGGCAATTTTTAGACCTAAATAATGTGGCATTTCAAAACTGTGGGAGAGAAATGTATTAGTTAAGAAATGCAGTTAATACTGAGACGGGACATCACTTGTAAATTCTTAATCTTTTAGCAGGAAATGAAATGGGACATCTCTTGCAGAGTTAATCTTTTCCGTAAACCTAGTTAAGTTTTTTCCCTCCTTTCTTTGGAAAAAGTCTCCCTCCCTCAAATCTTGCTAATTGCCCTGGGGACTCAGATCCTCTGGCTATTGATACGGGTCATCAGTCCATTGTTAAGCAGAAATGGTGTTAAGCCAGGCAGGGCTCTTAGAATCTGGGGCGGGTGGGGTGGTAGGGAGGGCCGCGGGGGACTTTAAGCCAAAGGTCTTTCTTTTTACTCTTTAAGAAACATATTAACCAAGCCTTTTCCCTTTATTCACTTAATAGGCAAATCAATAATAGCAATTAATAGATATATGGTTTAAATAATAAGTTTGTATCTTCTTTCTTTGTCTAGGGACTGAGGTTGGCACTTTAGCAGGAAACCCAAGACCCCACTCTGACTGAGACAGAAAGGGATAGGCACGGACTATGGCGATTCTCAGCAGAAAGCAGATATGGAAGAAGAGACCTCCCGTCCCTCAACATCCATATTAATAAGGGATGGCTCTTTTACATGGCTCTTAGAAAAGAGGTAGGTAGGAAAGTTAGGGGGTTTCGGGTCTGCCTGCAAAGACACTGAGGTCATCTTATCTTAGAAGGGGTCCGCCCTAATCCGCCCACAATTAAGCAAGCGAGAAGGCATTTTTTAAACTCACAGAAAGAAACCAGTAGGCAGAGATTTAGGTACCAGTTTAAGCCAGTCACTTGCATCTGCGCAATGAAGACCCCAACGACCATCAATTACCTGAGTCTCATTATACCATCATTATATGATGCATATGCCCAGAATTTCTTAATATCATAACAGACTGAATTCTGGGCACGAACATGGGCAGAAAGCAAATGATGAATCACTGAGCCCTGTCAATCTTAGTTGTCAATCAAGGAAGCCCACTCCTCTAAGAAAAGTAACCACGCACAGCAAAAAGGGATAGAAACTCTAAAGTCTTTGTTACCAGGCCTTTTGAGCCACGCTTCTCTTGCTCAAGGCCCGCTTCCACATCTGGAAGTGTACTTTCCTTTCTAATAAAACCTTTCTTTTCTACTGTATTTTGGTGTCTTGCTCAATTCTTTGTTCGAGACATCAAGAACCTGGACAACGCTCTGGGTGCGTATCCCCACTCTCTGGTAACAATACGACTGGATAGACATCTGGAGAGAAATCAAAAAGCTGAATCCCTACTTTACTCCTTACACTAAATAAGTTAATTAAACGATATTGATCAAAAATTTTAAAGTGAAAAACAAGTTAGTAAAAGTACTAGAGGAAAACCTGGGAAAATATTAATAATGGCATTAGTAAGAAAGACTTTCTAAGAAGAAGGAAACAACTCCCATTTTATATATAAAGTGATGTATTTGACTATCTAATAATTAAAAATTTATACAAGAGGTTAAAACACTACAAGCAATAACAAAAGAGAAACAAAAACCTAGAAAAATAATTGTAAAGAGATCATAAATACAGAGCTGTTACGAAGCAATAAGTAAAGAAACACACACACACACACAAAAGGAAACTGGGCAATAGACCTGAACCAGAAGCTCAGAGAAAGAAAAGAGTGCCTCATCTTCCCTTTGACTTAAATAAATCCAAATGATAAAATACTATTTTTACCTCTTAGGTTTGATAAATAGGTAAATAAAAATATCACAGGCACGTTGGGAAAGCAGTATTATTCTTTGTATCCTGTTGATGGAAGTATAAAGGGATGCTTTCTCTTTGGAGGGTATTTTGGCAATCTCCTAAAATTTAAATGGATCTATCTTTTGATCCATCAATTATACTTGGAGGTGTATTCTACAGATGCACTCATGTGTGTGTGAGAAGACGTAAGCCTAAAGATGGTTGTTGCAGAAATGTGGGTGAGAGCAGAAACGGAAGTAACCTAAATATTTATTAATGTTTAATAAATAATAATTATTTATTATTAAACCTGGTTAAACAAAGTGTAGCCATACCAAGAAATACTATGAAAAAATTTTAATCCATAAAGCTGATATTGAAAGACCTCCAAGATATGTGAAAAATGCAAAGTAGAGAGCAGCATGCATAATATAGTTTCACTTACATACAAAAGGGGTACACACACAAATGCTTTTCTCTTGCTGCTTTCAAGATTCACCCTTTGTCTTTGGCTTTCTAGACTATTTCTGGAGAGAAATCTAAAAAACTTCAAGTGAGGAGGAATGGGAAGCCAGGTGGGAGGAAGCTATACTGAGCGTAACATGCTCTTTTGTTTTATTCATTTCACTGATGGCTCTTTCAATTAAACTCTTTTTAAAAAGAACATGTTTTGAGTCGAGGGAAAAAATTGTTTTGTCTTCTGTGTAGGTTTATTCTGTTTTCCAGAAGGTCCAGAAGAAAACTACTGTATTTACTTTTTTTTCAAGTCTGTCAACAAGTATTTATTGACTGCTTTAGAAATTTATTGTGAAATATATCATATATATCACAAGTATAAAAAAATATACATGACCTACTTAAAGATCAATAATCAAACGAACATGCACATATCACCCCCACCTTAAGATCTGGACCGACCCAGGTGCTCCTCCCCACAACACACCTTTCCCTTCCCGCTTCCACAGCTCTCTGGCTAAAGTAATTTGGGAGTTATTAGTCTCCTTTTAATACAGCTAAGAACATAGAGGCTTAGAGAGGTGGCATCATTTACTGGCAGTCACACTGCCCGCTCAGAGAAGAACTGGGCTCAACTCCAGGTTTCCTGATTCCAGGTCTACTATACCTTTCATCGTGGCTCTGATAATTATCTTAACAGAACTTGATAGAAAAAAAATTTTGATTTACTGTTTTTAGTCATTTTCATAAATGAATGTAATCAACTGTACTACTGACAAAATTGATTGTTCAAAAAAGGTATAATTGTCCATTGAGAGGACCATTAAAGATTTCACAATGCTTCATTTGTTGCCTGGGGGATCACAGCAGGAGCGGTTTGAAAAAACAGAAGTATCAATAGGAAAAATTAGCCTTTCTTTTTTTATATTTATTATTGGCCTGGGGTAGGCTCAGGTTCTGTAAAAAAAAAAAAAAAAATGATGAAGGAGAAGTTTTCATTTCCTGACCTATTGGCTTCATTTATACGCTAAATGTCAATTTAGATATTTACCAGTAAATTGTGGTACTCATCACTTGGGAATATTTTTTTTAACAAGGTTGGGCTGTGTAAGATTGCATCAAGGTGAAAGATAGGGTATGAAAAGATATGTTCACAAAAAAGTCAGAAACTTTTTTTTTCTGATAATAATGATTAAAAATTTGGATAAAAATAAGAAAATCCAAAATTGAAAGCCACAAAATCTAGATTGTCAAATTAAGGAGTCACATTTGACATAAAGGGCTTCCTAAATCTTGATTTAGGATTTGAGAATGGTGAAGCTGGAAGAGGTCTTACAGCTCATCATCATGGAGGTGTCTAGCATGATCTACTTATCAGGTGGCCCTGCCTTGAGCCCTCCCCCTCCCCCACTCCCACCCAGTGCTCTACTCCAGTCACACTGGCCATCATCATGGAAGGGTCTTTGCAGTGCCTAGTAAGTTGTGCCCACATCTTCACTGAGGCCTTAGCTCAAATGTCACCTCACCAGGAAGGCT